CAATGTTCAAAAATTCATATCTTCCAGAAAAATAAAGATATAGACTTCTTTCTGGGCTCATCTTAAAGACATTTTTGTGGCTATTTTTTATAAAATCGTAATTTTATTTAAAAATGGCCGATTAAAACGTAATTTTTTTGGAAATTTATTTTTTTCAAAAATTAAAATTTGTTTAATTAAAATGGGTGGTGATGGTAGGTGGTGGTGATGGGTGGTGGTGGTGGTGGTGGGTAGGTCAAAAAAAATTTTTATTTTAAAAATCAAATATAAAAAAATTTTTTTTTAAATTTTTTACTTTAAAAATTACATGATATAAAAAATGGTGGTAGTAGGTACTAATTGTGGTGGGTGGTGGTGATCGGTGGTGGTGGTGGGTGATGGTGGTGGGTAGTTGTGGTTGGTGGTAGTGGGTGGTGGTGGTGGGTAGTTGTGGGTCAAAAAGCAATTTTTATTTTAAAAATCAAATCATATAAAAAATTAAAAAAAAATTTTTTATTTTAAAAACCGTTAAAGACCGTCAGTCCTGGGCAAATTTTCGTGCCAGCCCGGCAGGCCCGGAGGTTTGCAAAGTGTCGATGTTATCGATTGTCGACAAAAATTTGCAATTTTTTTGAATAATACATCATTAAGATCATGATTTTTATTATAAAATAAATGCGCTTTATAAATAAGTACGAATACCTATATAATGCTATAATATCAAATATATTGCCGCAAAATTACATTTTTTCCAGCTGTTTTATCATCTCTCTGGATAATCACGTATGGTAACTATAAAAAGTTTAAGTAAAAGCTGCAGTTTTGAATAAAATTATAACTATATATAATATGTATATATTTTATATACATATAGCAATTATAGTTATAATACAGATGAATTACAATGTACGTATAATGTCACTGTATGTATGTACATGGCTAAATAAACATTGATCTAACATAATATATAAATCATTAAATTATAATAATTATTATTATATTAATTATTAATATTATTGGTTAATGGCTTTAATTTTAGCAATTATTATTAACCCAGCCACGCTAACTCCCGCCGTAAGGGTGTCGGTCTTTAAATAATATCTCGTACCGGTGATTCGCCGTACTGGTATAAGATTCTATATGATATATTCTGCACGTACGGGCAGCACAAGACCGACACTATCGACAGAGACGCGGCAACGTTTCTCAAATAGTTTAAACGCTTGCCGCGCGCGCGACGTGGCGGATGTTGTCCAATGTTGTCCGCGCATTGTAAGAAAATTAAGATGTAATTTAATAGAAAGTTTCTAATTAATACACGTTAATTAAGTGCTCGACGTAAACGATCATTGTATAGGTACTTGGAGATCAAGAAGGATATAAAATACATTCTGTGATAGAAGATAGTTTGTTTTTTGAACGCTATTTAATGAGTTGTCATTGACATTTCCTTGAAATATAACCTCTAAATTACTACAAGTTGTGATATTTTGCAAAACATAACTATAATAACAATTTGTAAAAATGCGTTGCACATAATAGGTATATACATATTGGGACACGTATAAACATATGTATGTGTGTGAGTGAATGAGTGAAATGTATTTATTACTTCAGCAGATACATGATGGATCCTGAGACGGCATACGAGAATTTATTTAAATTGCAGTGTTTAATTAAAACCACCGAGATACAGCATAGTGTACAATGCAAACTTGAAAGAAAATTATTTTTTGCATTGGCAAACAACAATGCCGAAATTATTCTTTATTTTAAAAGAGAATCCTCTTGTCTACCTGTCATTAAAAAGATACCTTGGTTTCAAGGGCCGCATAAACAAATCGCTGCTTTTTGCTTTGATTCAAGTGGTACTTGGTTATTATGCATTACTTTAGATGGTTCATTGTATGTATTACCTGCTTTAACTTTAGTCGGTGAAAATTGCATTGTTGACAAGAAATGGAAGACTGACGATGCGACGTATATTCCTTTTATAAATTCTCAGCCTTCTCATTTCAGGTAATTTTATTCAACAAAATGATTTTTGTGAATTAACAGTAATTATTGAGTTTGTAATTATTAATCTTGTACTATACTATATATAATAGTATAAAACAGCTTATGCTTTATTTGCTCTTCTGTGTATACCAAGTTTTACACAATATGTTTCTATTTCCATATCCATAGTTCTTTATCTTGTAAATATATGTATTTTTTAATAATTATCTAGAATTTTCTATAATTCTTTAAATACAGTACTCTTTTATTTTCAGACCAATAGCTATTACATGGTGGAAAAATACCAAAACATCTATGGACATAGCCATCATAGGAACGGAATGTGGAACAATTGTATTTATAAACCTTTTGAATGGACAACAGCTAGGCGTAACATATATTAATGAAAGTATAAGCAGTCTACATATTTGTCAAAATGAATACAATGAGATTACGTCTCTTTTGATAACGAGTAAATTTCAACAGCAATGGCGTTTGCCTTTGGAACACTTAACTTTTAATCTTTTGCTTAATTTTGAAAACAAAGAATCTTATAACGAATTAAATTTAAGTGACATTCGTGACAATAATGGGGAAGATTCCGCTCCTAACAAATCTAAGTTACAAGAGCTTAAACAACTCTCTGTTGAAAAACTGGCTATTCTTAAGCAAAAGTTAATCGATACCAAAAATCAAGCATTGGGAGATTTACAATGCAGAGGTAGGTACATGCAAGTTCATTTAGAAAAAACATTCAAAATGTAATATTAAATACCTTTCAGGAAAAACAATGGAAAACATTTGTACTACTTTTTTTTTTTACTAATGATAATGATAAAAGAGAATTTTTCTCATAGAGTTTTAAGAATGAAACAGTAGAAAATAGTTTTTATTTTTAATTTATGCTCCAACATAAATATATTTATAACATACAACATGCGCTTTTTTAAATTATTTATTTGCGCGGAAAGAGTACACAATTATGCAGAACATCATCAATTTTGTGATGATGTATTTTTGCCCTGAAAGAAACCGAGATCATATAAAGAAAGAGACTTGTGCCCAAGTGATAGATATATTCCGGATGCATATATTTACCATTCGTAAATAAAAAGATTCGTAAAATAGTTAACGTGACGTACTAATATCACAGATGCTGCAAGTATCAAAGAAAACAATAATGGAATTCCTGTTAATCTGGAAATATCGAAATCCAAATTAGGTTTTATAAGTCCAGAACCAATATCAAAAGATACTTTCCTATCTTTGCAATATGACAGAGAGGACCGACAATTGTATACATGCTATCATCCTGTCACCAATTACATCACAGTAAGATCTTTTTGTCATATTTCTCCTTGATTGAGTCCCCGAGCATAGCGTTAATATTATTACATTAGTTTCCTAATATAATAATCTCTTTTTTTCTTAGGTACATGGTCCAAATCTAACTGTGGTACCCTTGTCAATGCACAAAGTATTTGAGTCGTGTAAAACTGTTCTATTAACACACAGATTATTTTTTATTACCCATGCTAATCAACGTTTAGTATATATAATATCCAATCAATTATCCGAGACTCATGTAAACAATGATTATCAATTTAATCCCGAATCTATTATTGGAATATTTTCTTTTAAAAATAGTAAGGAATTTGTACGCACAGTATACAAAGTAACAAAATTCGATAAAATAGTACCGAGAAAAGTCTTTGAGGAAATGGAGAGTAAATATATCTTACCAAAGAGTATGAGGGATATTGAAGTCGATCCTTTTAGTTTGGATACATGTATAATTGTGACAAACCGCTGTGTATACGAAGTGGTTTTAAGGTCAGTTTATCGTAAAATTTATAGAGACTAGTGTTCACAAATCAAATCAGTAAACAAAATTATTATGTTCTTGTGATTTTATTTTCATCTTGTTTTTATATGAATATTTCAAATGTCATGCTATTACATGAAAAAGTTTTGTTACTCAACAAAAATCTATTTTCTATAACAGTTTTTTTTTACAACGTTATGGACATACAATATAAGACATACTTTATACTGTATACCATGTTATTTATTTTTTGTAAAATGTTACCTATGTATTGCATTATTTTTTAACTTGCTTTTTTTTATCTCAGCTGACGATGAGATGATACAATTCTAATACTAATTAATTTCTTTAAATATTCGTATAATTATTTCCTACCATATAAAATTAGTATATTATTTTCTTTTATTTTAGAAAGTCTCTTTTATCAATCTTTACGGAATTAATATTGAAGAAAAACGAGTTGCAAAAAGCAGGAAAATTAGCAATGATTTTTGGATTGAATGGCCAACACCTGTTGGAATATGTAGGCGATTTATTCCTATCAAATAAAGAATTCTCACGCGCAGTAGCTTCGTATAAAATGTCGAAGGTAGCTAAATTTCCCTCTCTTATTCTATCATCTCATACAACATGTCTCTATATGTCAACATTTTTATTTCAGTGTAAATTATTGAAGAGCGTGTTAAAGTTTGCATCGGTCGGCCATACTTCAGAATTATTAAGTTGTCTAACTCACTGTTTATTGACACCTGTCATTACTGAAATGCCTATTGCAACAAGGATACATTTATCTAATTTGTGCGTACTTTCTTTTATCGAGATGACATTGAGGGTTTGGTCGGAACAATCTAAAGTGATTTATAAAGAATTCTTGTAAGTCATATCGTACTGTTATTATCGTACATTTATAAAATATATTATATTTTATGTATAACGAGGCATCTTTAATTGGATATGTGAATAATATATTTATTAACAATTTCGATGTTTGCCAAAATTTGGCAAGATAATGGCTCAAGACAAGATATGTTGCTCTTAAGATATCTACCTCTTTGCATAATTTTAGCATCTTTTTTGCGATATTTGTATTCAAAGTGGTGTCCTTGTCCTCTTTTCTTGCTTTCATTCTTTTTACCTTGAAGATTTTAAAAAATTGTTACAAGTTTCTGTATATCATAAAAATAGCGTGATAGTGCGTACACACGCATATTTACATCGTGTATGTAAAATTCTATTTGATCTAAAAGTTTCTATTTTTAGATACTTCTTGTCCACAAATACATTTTACGATGAATTATTAGCTATTAATATAGCTGGTCAAACTTACCTTTGGGAGGTATTACACCATTTAGCTACACAAAGGAGTCTGTACAGTCAAATGTTGGATATTCTCGTAAAGACGATACAAATATTTGGCACAAACGACATTCACCCAAAGTCATGTAATGTATATTCATACTTTTATATAAAACAACCAATTTTCCAGATAATTGCATACATACATAACAATATGTCCGGAATTTAATGTTTTTATTTCAGATGGGTTACTTATATGTTTAAGTGAATCTGATTTAATGCAATCAATGTTATTGAATTGCGATTTAGCTAGATCTCATATACTATTTGTACGCAATAATCTGCGAGATTTTCAGATCTTCGTGCTTCAGGTGAGAAACCTTAACATTTAAGTATTTACTTGGTAAAGGAATTTTTGCATCGTAAATTAAATTATTAACAAATAAAATCTAATTGACTGAATAAATGAATCGTTATTTATTACCATATGCGCTCTGAGATACTATCCCCTCAAGCGCCATAAAATCTAAAAGAGGAAGGGAGAGAGAGAGAGAAATGTAAATATCGAGTTATTTTGCTTCTCCACTTGCTAATAGAATTTATTATATAAAAACTAAAGAAAATTTGTCTCGGTCAAGTTAATCAAACGCCAGTACTTATGAATTAACGTTTAATACATTTGATGAAACCGAAATTGAGTATTTGATTATCTTTCAAGTATTATACAATTATGCTTAACAGCTTAAAATGTTCCACAGAGATTAGTAACATTGTATGATCCAACAAATCCAGTATTACGACCTAAATTAGTACAATGTAAAGCACGTCAGAAGGTATCGTCCAATCTGCGATCTAATCAGTGTGATTCTACTACAGATTCTACGGATAATATTGTGAGTATTGAGTTTCTGATGTATGGAGTGCTCTCTCAAAATTCGCGCATTTAGTATGAATGATTAGTTCTCGAATTACCTGAACTATTGAAAATAAAAAGAAATTATCGCAAATAAAAATTTTAAAATTATTAATGTATATATGTGAAAAAAATTGCGTTTTTTTTTTAATTATTGTTGGATGTATTTTTATAACTTAAATAAAAGTTTTAATTTGATCTTTTATCGTTTAGAAATTAAAATGTTTAATGTTTGGATTTTAAAAAATTGTAAAGGAAAATAGCGGCAAAAAGCAGTTTCATTAAGAAAGAATCGGAGCGAATTTTGAAGTATTATCCATATGTAATGTCCTGACAGTTATTGATTGTATAGTTACCAATTATATCGTTTGTTTTAAATGTTTTTTTAACTTGCAAATTTTTGTTAATTAGATTTCTTAAAATCTCAAAATATTAAAAAAAGAGATGGTGTTTCAATTTTTATTATTATACATTTCTGTAATTAAGTTCTAAATTACTATTCCTTTTAAAAGTTTGTAATTAGGGAATACATTTTTTTGAAACTTAATTTATCAGAAACCCTTTGTCCCGTCTATTTACTCGAAATGGCAAGTACCTCTTTGCAACTTTTTCATGAAGAAAAGATTGTTTCCAAATCTGTATAGTAAAGAGGGTATCTTTTAAGGATGTAGTTTCACCCTTAAAAGACATTTTTAATAACCTTTATATTAATAAAAATATTTTGTAGGATCAGTCTGATACGCTTGTGGAAGAGATAATAGAAACGTTTATACTAGTCTTATTGACTCTTATTTATAAAAAACGATTGTTAAACCCCAATTCCAGATTCACTTTTTTGTATGACATTCAATTGCCGGAGTTAAACAAGGTAATTTTAAATTTCTAATCTACATTCTGTATTTGGTAAAGAAGAAACGAGATTCTGTTTTACAAAAGCTTTTATTGGTAAAAGATTTGTAGAATTGAATTATAAAAGTGGAGATTTTGAGGGATTTTGTTAATCTTTTGTTCCATCTCATATTTCGAAACTTTTTTTCGAAAAAAATCTTGGAGAATTTTTATTTTCATTGTTAATGTCATGTGATGTTATATAGTATGTCATAGACGTTTATCGTACAATTTTTGATAAAGGTAATGAAATCATGTTTCCATTAAATTACGTGATGTAAAACACTACTTAATGCGATGTAGATATTTGAATGTTTATTGGAGTGAGGAAGAATTACGATAAACGATCGAATGCGTAATCTTCTTTATTGTAGGGGAGGAGATATGGCGTATCCTAATCGTTCAGTCTCGCTTTTTGTTTGCCGAATCTCGTATCTCTGCGAAATTATTGAGTTGGCTTAACTTTATACTTTTATTTGTACAGGAATACTCGGAAATGACTCTGCACATTGATTTTAAAAAGAGATCATTAAGTACTGGATTTTCTCACGTTGCGCTTGTTAGAAACGGTAATATCTATACTTGGGGAAGTTCAGTGCAAGGTTGCTTGGGTACGTATATTTGCAGATTGTTTGAAACATAAATAAGTGTTGTAACATATCAAATGAATGTAATAGTACACGCATCTCTCTCAAAGTACGTATAATGGTGTGTCTGTATATATGTATATATATATATATATATATATATATATATATTAATATTAAAAAAAAAAGAGGGAAAAAACGAAATATGTATGGCCAGTACGAGTGGAATATATATTATCTTATGATAAAGATGCAAATAAATTTTCTCCTGAAAAGACTGATATTTATCGAAAAATCGATATATCAAATTTTATCTTTGATTATCACGATCTTTTCACACAGATACGAAATGTTGGCCACTTGGATTTCCTGTGCTTGACCATTCATTATTAATCGTATCGAGTTTCTTCTCACAATAATTATCCATAATTTTCTCATACATGTCATCAATAATCACTCCGTAGGTACTGGCTCTAGTGTTTTGCGATATGGGGCACCTCACGCCGTATGCTTCTTCAAAAGTATGAAGATTGAAGTTTTCAGTGTATCGTGTGGACATTGCCATACCCTGGCAGTTACCAATAATGGAATTTACGCTTGGGGCGCTAGTCAATTTGGCCAGTTAGGACTCGGCAAGGTGCTACAATGTTCAAGTCCGGAATTGATTACTTCGCTGGCACAAGAAATTATTGTCGATGCGGTAGCTGGACAATATCATTCTGTAGCATTAACCACAGATGGTAGAATATTTACGTGGGGTTGGGGTGTTCATGGCCAGCTGGGTCATGGTAATACCGACGAAAAAGCCACACCGTCTTTGGTCAAAGCTCTGCTTGGCGTAGTAGTGTGTTGTATCAGCGCTGGATACGCGCACACATTGGCACTATCGGTAGACGGTGTGGTGTATGCCTTCGGATGTAATGTTCTTGGGCAATTAGGAACATGTGATAATGTCAAAAGTTCTACCCCCACAAGAGTATCGTTACCCGATGGGATAATGCTTATAAGTACTGGATACTTTCATAATGTAAGTAGTTCAGTAAACGATACACACGTGATTTGTATCACAATTAGCTAATGGGATTTAATTTAATTTAAATTTATTTAGTTTCTCTCTTTTAACGCAAAATGATGACAATCAAAACAGACAGCTCGTTGCTTTTTGTAGCAAGTCTCCATATTAGTTAGTAACACCTTGAATAGAGCAATAGCGATATATATATATATATTAACATGCGTATTCTGTTTTACGTTTACAGTTAGCTGTCAGTAACACGAACAAATTATTCATATGGGGTGCAAGTCCTCAGGTTCTCAGATTACAAGCACAAGCGCAAAAGAAAACTCGTATTCTAGAGCAACAAGAAAATGCTAGTGAGAAAAACAGTAAGGTTTTGGGAGGATCGGAGAAAAGAGGATCAAGTAGTGCTACAAATCTAAACAGAGAAATAAAAAAAGAATTTTTGGAAAATAGTGTACAAACCAAGTCTACTCAAATGCAAATGATTACTTCTGATACAGAAACCCAAAAGAAATCCGAAACTGAAAACACAGATTTGAGAGATTTGAACTTTGATTTGATCGAAGAAAATCAAGCACATTTAAGACCATGTGTTGTCGATACTAGTTTGATAAAAGGGCAAATTAATCAGGTTCGTATAATATATAAACAGCTTGATTTTCATCCAAACTGCGCTTACAATTAGTCCAATAAATATTACAAATATTTACGTATATATATATATATATATATATAGTGAAACTTTGATTAGTAAGTCACAGTATGATAATTGCTATTTTTCAGATGAAATTATGCCAGAATATATTAAAATTTTCTCCTCTTTGATGGCGGACAATTATGGAGCACCTTTAAATGGATATCCAGGTGCAGGTAGAAATAACAATCCAGAGCAAATGATGGAAGGAATCGTCAATACGATATTCTCGGAAATGGAAGATTCCAGATTATTTGCACATGTTAAGGTAATTTTAACATGATAATCTTAGACAAGACTCTTATTACATTGCATATAGTTTGCATTAGTTATATGCCTAAATAAAATACTAGCGTCGTAAGTACTTGACATAACACATTTGAACATATACAATTAAAACAGAATTCGGATGCTGTAAATCACTTGCTTACAACGGAAGAAGATAATGTGATATTTACATGCGGACATCATTTTCCAATCTCTCTGTACGAAACGGACGTTGTTCCGTCGATGGAAACTGAATTATTGACATCTTCATCGTTAATTCTTCCATGTACGTCGCAATATTTAGGAAATATGTTATCTCGCACATCTGAACCAGAAATCCTGTGTCCTTTGTGTATAATTGGAGTATTAAGAGCAACGGTAAAGAATTGCGAATAAAGGTATGTTAATCCTTTAATCTCGGATGTTATATCTGACAATTAGACCATTGGATGATTATACAGATATGTTTGAAAAATAATATAATTACACAAAAATAATTACGAGACATATATCGTCAAATAATATTATAATTAATGATTAGGACTGTTATCAGTCTTTAACGCTTTCTTCGTTTATTCCGCATACCTGTGCGGGCGCCCTTTCTCGCCCCAGAAACTATGCTCTGGAATTTGCCCGCATTCTTCTTCTTCTTTCTGTAAAATGCAAATATTCGATTTATAATTATAATATAATAATATATAAATAAATAATATAATAAATGATGTACAATAATATATCAATGAATCGAGAATAATACATATACACATACAACAGATATATTAATGGATTAAAGATATCTCTATTACTGATGTACCTTTTGTTTAATATAGACCTCGTTAAGGGTACATATGCGTAGGGATCTGGTTTACCCTTCCTCTTAACATCTCCCCTGGCCTTTATTGCACGATATTCTGAACCTGCTTCGCAATCTACTTTTCTTGTTTTTAACGATCGATGAATACCCGATCCACCAGCTGAAATTAAAGAGAAATGTAGAGGAGGGTGCGTGTTTTAATACAGAATATTTAGCTGGCGTAATACAAAATGTAATATAAAAAAAAATTTACCTCGATATCTCGACGTTGACTGACTCTTTAAACTCATTGCGTCAAGCGTACTCTCGCTGTATTTACGTTTTTTGCTGACGGTTTTCGTGGTCGCTATCGATGATCCGTTATCCTCGTCTTCTACAAAAGAATAGAAATAGAACCATATATCTCACCTCATAACAATACGTAAATTTTTTTTCATATCTAAACAGAGTTACTATATAAATTACAAAGCATTTACCATAATCGTCTTCAGTATCACTCTGAAGAAAAGAAGTCACTCTCTTCTTATTCTTTTCTTCCACTGCGTTGCTGTCCCTCTCGTTATCATGATCCGTAATGATGATACGACCGTCAGGTGCAGACGCAAAACCGCGATCCTTAATTTTCTTCACTGGAATCTTTGGATTTAGTACACCTGGTTGTGTAGCTAAAGCAAACACAAAAAATTGAAGACAAGTAATTGATTATACCAGATTGAGGATATTAATTAGAACATTAAATTTTTAAGTGATCTTATAGTTTTGTCTCTAGAGACAAGGGAGACAGAGAGAATGATGTATTGTATCATAGATATATATATCAAAATTCAAAATTAACCTTTAATCGTTTTTAAGAAAAACATAGAAACATAAAAATTAGTTTGTGCAATGTGGGGTCTACACTAATTGTAAGAATCGTAAGTAGTCGTAGTCGTCTTGAGTCCATAGGAAATTGATGACGATGATTATAGACAATGATTATGTAAGGAGAATAATCGAATTGTGATTGGTCAATTTTCTACGACTCAGGACTTGACGAGTCCTCCTATCCTAGTGATGCGGACCCCGCATAACTCTCCGAGCAAAGACGCACGAGCGAGCTAGAGGACAGATGGAAAACATGACTATTGATTAATGACTAACTTGTGATATTTTTAGCAGCCGCGGGATCTGCAAGATCGACTATGTCATTTTCATTCTCCTGAATCCAAGCGTCCTTTCCCCGCAGCGTTCTTCTTTTCTTGTTTCTCTTTTTTGCTTCATCGTTCTCAGTGACTTGAAACTCCTCATCGCTATCAGCCAATATCTCCTCTTTGCTTTTAGGTCTCCTCCTGGCGTCAAATTCCTCATCGCTATCCAGCTTCTTCGCTCTTTCGACTTCCCGTTTTTTCCTTTTCGCATCCTCTATCTTATTGATATTTTTCAGTCTCTTGTGCAGGATCACGTCCGAAGCCGGTACCATACTCGATATCGACCCTATGCCGTATTTCCTTATCAGTTTGGTAAAGATATCTCGCACCTTTTGTCGAAAGTGGCGCTTACAATCCTCGCTCATTCGCGAGAGAGCGTCGACTATCCGCGGCAAGGTCGGTGCCATCACAGTGGACGGCGTAACGTTGATGTACACCTTCATGTAGGACAATGCAGACTCCACTATCTCTCTCGTGGGACTCGTAAGAATCGTACAAGTGTGTCCGAAAATTTCGTTGACGGTGTCCGTGCCCAGAGAGTTGTTGTAATGATAAGTGATGGACGCCAAAGCAAGGAGACTGGCGCTAACGTAGCCTTGCTCACCGCCCAAACCCACCAGCAGCATGTCGACATAGTCGTTGAGATGCTCAGGATGCTTGTCGAGAAATCTCTCGGCGATCGTATTAAGCAGCTGATACGCTACTTCGCGACACCTCTCGTTTATATCTTTGACGCAGAGCACAGCTTCCGGTACGATGGCCTCGAGGAACTTGGTCTTCTCGAGCTGCGGATGTACTCGAACAAGATGCGCCAGACACCGCAGACGCGCTCCTCTGCTTGACTTGATTACGCTGGTTGCCGATGATATCAGTGTCCTTTCAATCTGACGTCGGTGCTCGTGCAGAAACCGCTTGCAAACCTCTCTTTCGCTACCGCATATCTCCTCGAGCAAACGATAAGCTTTCTTCTGCTCCTTCTGCTTGGTGTTATCCTTGAGTACCGGCACACACGCCTTTTCGTAGTGCTTACTCAACCTGTCAATGTCGATATAACCGATCAACCCTCTCGTCAGATCGTAAACGCTCTCTCTGAAGAAGTCGTCCGCATTGGACGACTGTTCGAGTTTGCTTAGTGCTCGATCAAACAGGTCGTTCGCCAAGTCACTGCTCGCGATCGTCATGTAAGTCTTGATCGTGTCGTACGCGGCGAGACGCGCTCCTTCCTCGTCCGTACCGCTTGGTTTCGTCGTGTACAGATTGAAAAGAATCGGCAGATAATTCTTGGCGAAACGAGCGAGTTCGGCGATGTCGTCGTCGACATCGTCGGCATCTCGATGACCCGATATTCCGGTGATATTCTGCGTCGCTTTGACAACCAGCTTTCTCAAAGCTGCCATTGCGGGTAGTCTCAGGTCCCTCCGATCGCTGATAGCTATACCCAACAGTTTGGCGATATGCTTAAAGTTATCTTTCACATCGCTAGCATCGTTGCATATGCTCGGCAAAATCGACCAGATTTGCGTTACCAAGCATTCGTACGCGGTCTTTACGTCTGCCGAAGATCCCTTCGCTTTTTCCTCGCACCGCAGAGCGAGCGGCAACAGGACGTCCTTGAAGAGGGCGATGGTACCACCGGTTATGCAGTCTTTCAACAGCGGAACCATCCAACTGCGTCTGAGATTTAGCGTGTTTTCGTCGATTCCAAGTGGGAGGATGTTCAACACGACTCGAGGCCCCATAGCCCGGATCGCTGCTCCAATGGCATACTCCGCGTCGCGGTTATACGAAAAATCATGCGAGTCTCGCAAATTTCCTAGGGTCTTGACGACGTTGGCGAGTTCCTGGAGCTGCTTTAGCTTGCCGGTGATTTGGAAGAGGACAGCTATAAGGTGAAGAACGTGACACCAAGCTCCAAGATACTGATAACTCAATGTCTTATGCATTATCTCGACTATGTGCCTCAAGATGGGCTCGAATTTACCGATTCGCTCCTCATTCTCGCAAAGAGGTGCAACGCATTCCTGTAGAATGGCTTTGACAGTGTGCGCGGCACCGGCGACGATCTCCGTCTTGTTTGATAGCAACAGCCCAATGCACCTGTTGAGCATCTCCGGCATGACGTAGTCAAACGTCGAAAAGATGTCAGAAGCCGAGCACAGCCTTGGCAAGGCCTGGTGTGCCAGGTTGCAGTGAGCCTCCCGCATGACGGCCAACCATGCTAAAGTCGGCTGCGTGTCGTTGACGGACGGCTGATAATCGTAGAGAGCTTTAATGATATTTGCATTTCGCGCAAAAGGTAACGTTGCCTCCGACGGTCTCGTGACAAATAATCCGTGCAAGGTTTGCAAACAGCAGGATGTTATCAATACATTGTTCAATGTCATGATACTTAATAGACGTTCACAAATGGTTCTTACGTGTGACTTTGGTAGCTGATGCGTTATATCCTTCAAGAGGGTAAGGATATGCAGAATAGTGGTTACTCCTAGCGACGATCCTGGCTCGCAAGCAGCGTTGAGTTGCGCGATGCAGTGCGTCGCGACTTGTCCCGCGGCTGGATGATGAGTCGGCGACTTGTCGCTCTTCATTACATCGCTGTCCTTTAGAATGGCACATATCCCATGTTGGGCGGACTTGCGTACCTTGGGCTTGGCGTGAGTGACAAAGGACAATATAGCGTCCAGCACTTGCATCGTCGAGGAATTAGTCCAAATGGCAGCCTCCTGCGCTCTCAACAACACCGAAAGGCAGCCTATGCAGTGTCGCAAAATGAGATAGTTTTCGCACTTGTCGCTAACGCTAACGTATTGCGACAGAACTCGAAGGAGAGCCTGGGTCGTCGGGCCAAACTGTAAATTTAATACGTTCCTCGGCACCGTTCTCAGACACATCCCGAGCAGAGATAGCGTCGCGGCTACGGCGGTATCGTCCTCCACCGCCTCTAAAGTGCTCATTAATGCGGCAAAATATTCTGTCGAGCTTTCGTTACCACCGTTCTGCTTGATAACCTCCGTGACGGCTGCCAACACCGCCAGCATCTCCTTATGTACGATCGAGCTCGATTGGAAATGACTGAGGAACCTGCCAAAGGAAAGGTTGGAGCAGTTGCTGTAATCGGTGGCGAACGTGTCGCACGTATTCACCGTGGTTCCACCGTCCACGGTGCTGCTTGCCTCCTCCTCCTCCTCCCCATCTATGTCGAGCTTGGTGAAATGTGGTTCGATACCTTGGATGGCGTCGTGCTTTCGTAAGTCCTCCGAAGTGATACCTGGGGTGCCGCCGGGAAGATCCTTGAAAAACATGCCAGTCGCTTGCTCGCGATGCTTCGTAGTCGCCGGATTTGAACTCGAACTCTGGCCCTTCGCCCATCGCTTCGCCTTCTTTCTGCTTGCCAAACGAGGCGCTAACTTGCCCATTTCTTTTTCTCTCACTTTCTAGTCTATTTCCAACTTTTCAAACTTGTAGAGAGACAAAACTTGCTTTCGATATTTGACAGTAGAAATACTAGAAATTACCTCGTTACTACGACTACTTAACCTATCCGATCTCCACGATGCGTACGTACGCCATGCCGTAATGTTACACGTGCTTCCACTTGCTTCAACGCCTTCAACTTGCAAAATGCCCTCGTGCACTAACGCCCTCTGTGAACAAGTGGATAGTGGATGTAAACTACATAGCAAACTTTTCTGCATCGCGGCGGGTAACGCGGGTATACAATTTAATTGTGCAGGTGCGTGTCCGTACTAAATTATAGTATACCTACGGTGCAGAAAAGTAGATTTTGCTATGTAGTTTACATCCACTTCTTCAAAAGCAAAAGGCCCCGTTATGTCTTCTCTCCTCTCTCGGGTGTTTCTCTCTGAGACCGTATTAATAGCGCGTTTTCGAGTGTGTATAGGTTAATAGATTTTGACTTTTCGGCCTTTTCGCTATTCCGCTGCATGGATTTGCATCCTCAGATTCGTAGAATCTGAAATCTAAAATCCAAAGGCGAAGAAGAAGAAAATTGTCGTTCCGAAAATGATCTCGATTCGGACGTGTTTGTTACGTGTTTGTGGACTTTTGAGAAATTCGCCAAGAAATATTCCATCTGCGAGCAACGGTATGAAATATGTTACCAAGTATATAGGTGTAGACATATATTCCATTTAAATTAATTTACCAGCTCAATTTCTTTGCTAATGTTTACTTAAAGTGCTATAGTGCTAACGCGAGGTTATGACATCTTTTCAGATACACGTAATTTATTTACCGTCGACTTACATCTATTGAAGACGCACATTCCTTTGATACGCGATACAAGGAATTCGACATTTTTCGTAAATAGTAAGTAAAGTTTTGATGGGCGTAACACGTTCATAATAGGGAGGAGAATCGATAATTGGACAAGAGATAATTGCAATTTTTTATTTTATTTTATCTCTTTCTCTCTTGCAGAATCTGCAGATGAATTGTGGAAAGGTGTGACGAGTGTCAGTAATGCGGGAAGACGTAGAGGTAGAGCAAAAGGCTTGGCGAGAAAAAGAGATTTAAATAAGGGTCAAATAATAGGTGTAGGAAAAATTCCGATACAATTTCCTGGTCTCAATACTCCTGTATTTAGAGGAAGGGAACTTATGCAACAGCAAAAGCTGCCCCTGGATCCCGAAAGGGAGGAAAAGCTCGCCAAGTTACGGCAGAACTACCAGACTGGACCAAAGCGGACTAAATTATCGCCGTTGGAACGTGGTTGGACTAGCGTCCAAATGGGTGGCAGAAAGATTGGACCACCCGATCCTATTGGAGAAGGTTATTATTTTGCACTGTCATTCGTCATGTATGTCTATCAATGATTAAAGAGTATTACAAGATATTTTAAATATATTTAATAAAATACTCTTTATTAAAACTTTCTTTGTAATATTTTTATTTGATAATCCTAGTGGTGTCAAGGTAAAATTATTAATTAACTTGTGCATCTATCTTTCAGATACTTTTGATGGCTTTGAAACTTGGATATTGGAAAACAAATTTGTAAATTGTATGACTGGCAATTTAGGACGCAAGAGTAAGATCAGCGTATTTGTCGTAACAGGAAATGGAAATGGTCTGGCTGGATTTGCGCTAGCAAAAGCGCCTGCGCAGAGAGCAGCCATAAAAACAGCTAAGAATAGGGCAGGTCAAAGATTGATGTATATTTCTAGATACAAGGAACATACTGGTAAAGTAAAAATATGTCGTATGCAAAAAAAAACTTGTATCTCACTCACTTTCTCTTTAATAATGTCACTCTGCTATATGTGACTTTTGTTTTTGTTTCAGTATTACATGACTTTTTCACACAATTTGGAGCCACAAAGATATTCGTAAAGAAAATGCACGAAGGATATGGACTTGTTTGTCATCGTGCGATAAAAGTATGTTGCGAAGCCATTGGCATAAAGGATATATATGCCAAAGTAGAAGGTCCCATAAATTTACAGCATATTATTAAAGCTTTCTTTATTGGTTTATTGCAACAAGTATGTATCTCACACAAAGGGTATATAACTGAGCGTTTATAATATGTTCTCTTTAAACTACATAGATAGATAGATAAGATTGGAGGTATCACACTCAAAGCAAGCAGAGATTGTTTTTAGATTTAAAACATTAATTTTTAAATTACAATGAATTAACGATGGATTTCAAATTTATTTAATATCTCAGATAAATGGTAATTTAATGTCAAATGGAACATTTTCGCTGCAATTATGAAACTTATGACAAGCGCAAAAAGTCGTTGTGCTACAAATTAATTCGACATTAAAATGGGACCATTTTTGCAGAAATCATATCAACAACTAGCGGACGAAAAACGATTGCACTTGGTTGAGTTTAAATCGGAAAATGGAAATTATCCAGTAGTGATCGCTTCGCCATCGGAAGTTAGAAAGCCAAAAGAAGTATCGTCCCGTGAGACTCTCGATTTTACTCAACATGTTTTAGGTGGCAAAGTAATATTGCAAAGAAAGAAGCATCCGCCATTCTATACTAAACTTCCACTTTACAAAACAAAATTATTAAAATTGGAACGATCGAGGCATTTTGATGAAACGAGAATAAGGCTAATGGCAGAGCATGGAGCGTTGCATAGTTTTCTGACTGAAAAGTATCCGGAGGCGAAGCTGCGTCCTAAATCGAAGCAAATGAAGAATCTTGAAACGGAAGAATAAACAAGAGTGTACTCGATTGTTATGTCTTATATATAAATGTAAATCTAAAATAAAGTATGGTTAGGAAATTAATTTTATATGTTTAAGTATGCATTAAGCTTAGATATTCACATATTCAGACTCATTTTATCTGACTTTTATCAACTCTCACTACTCCGTAGTGTCGTGCAGTAGAGGTTAGAAATAATTCACAATATGTATTCACATCCAGGACAGAAAAGCAGAAGCCAATCAGAGAGAAACTGCGCTACACTTGTTAATTGGACAATCGTATGCGTTCCGAAACTCGTCAAGTTTCAATGAACTTCAAATTGATTTTTTTACCAAGAATAGGTATGCAAATCTATCTTGTGATATATTTATGACATATGCCATAATTATGGCGCGTATTATTTGGTAAATATAAATAGAAGGCTACAATATTATCTACACGTTTCCATTAGGTGCAACACCTGCAATTAGGCGATAAGAATGGATCTAGATAGAGCTTACATTGGTAATTATATATTTACTTATGTAAGAGAATTTCGATCATTTTGCATGTGTGCGTTTTTATTTCCTAGAAAAATAATCTATACAGTTAAGTACGTGTATATATTATTTACTCGCGCGCGCCTAATATATAATTATAATAGTTAATACATATATATATGAATATTCTTTTTTGTGTACAGTTTAATTATTACATACATTCTTGTCCATCCACACGCATAAAATGCGATGTATGAACAAACATAAGCATAAGAGAGTTTATCTCTTATGATTATGGATCGATTTTATTTGAATATCGTACTAAACTTAACTTTGTTGGTAGAGCCATTAATTGACGATTGGATGGAACATCTTCAGCAAACTATGAAGAAACATGAGCAGGGGCAGGAGCAGAGCGTCAACGCAATTGATTTTGCCATGCCATTTGTAGGTAGGCGACACGCGATCGAGCTAGAGAGTATAGATAAGTATAACGCGCACAATGAATTAGAATTAAAAGATATATACTTATTGCAGGAGATAGTACGTACGTTTGGGAAATTTATTTAGTACAACAAACAAAAAATATCGACTTGCCGCAACAATAATTTTTAAATTTTAAATTGTATTATAACCACAGCGATTCCAGCATCTACTGTAAAAGCTGCTTTCAAGATAGCGGAATACTTGGAGTTGGAGCCAAATGTTAAGTATATGGCCATTCAACTGTACGACAAATTCATGTGTAAACACTTTTGGGAGATTTATAAGACTGAGATTGCGAATGATCCGTCTGAAGCATTTAAAGTTTGCAAGAAAACTTGCAATCAAACTAAATTAAATTTAATGTCATGCTTCCAATTGGCGTGCAAAATGGATTCTCATTCCAGTGCTTTAGGAATATCGCAAGTATATATATATATATATATATTGAAAGATAATAACTTTGTGAAAAATTTCAAAATATGACAAATGCAGTTAAGAGATAAAATTCAGTATCGCTTGTTTTGCTATAGATTCTTAATATTCTATATCTGATTGACAAAGAGTCGGAATATACACGAAATATGATTTCCTCTTCGGAAATTAAAGTTTTCAAAACAGTAGGATTTAAAATGCCCCTTTACACACCATTGCATTGTATCGAAATTCTTCTGGCGGCGACAGGTCTCGGAGAAACACCAAATGTGTTTAATATTTCGATAGATTTGTTGGATATGGCTTATCTAAAGGTTTGGACACTCGACAAATAATTTAATTTCTGTATTTCTAATTTATTTCTTTATGTGTAATTGATTATTAATACATGTATATAGTTGACACAATATGTAAGTTGTACACATTTCCAGCATGACAGATTATATTCGCAATTTGATTTATATTATATGCACAAAGATGTAAACACAGAACATGTAGCTGAGAAGTTGATATCATTGAAATCAAACATACTTTTCTTAAGTGCAGCAATAGTGTACTGCACAATGTTCTTTTTATGCTTGGATACAAATATCTCAGAAGAACAAATTATTATAACAAAATTGGCAGAATTATCAAATACAACCAACATTGATATTTCCAATATGGCTAATACATTGCTCTCAATAGCAACACAAGAGTAATATATAATATATGCTGTATATTTTGCACGCGCGCGCGCGCGCGCGCGTGTGTGTGTGTGTGTGTGTGTGTGTGTGTGTGTGTG